TGTTATGTTCTTAAAAACAAAATAACAACCCAATATGTAAATCAAAATTTATTGAACACCTTTCTACAGACAAACTGATTTGCTGAAATGTCCGTTTTAATCAGTCCATTTCAGTATCATTTTCCGTTTGTTTTCACCTTTGCAGTTTATATATTGTGGAATATTGTCCCAAATATGTTTTCTTGCATTGGTGTATCATTTAACAGACTTAAAATGCTTATAAATTAATGTTCCTGTGCATGTGTGTTCAATTTCAATTTCACGTAACTTTACCTTTAACGCAACATTGGACAACAAGTCTGCTACTGCTCAGAAAATGCGATGGATCTTCTACACTGCATGCGGAACGGATGTTTTCAAGCAATATTGTCATCGCGCATGTGTACGCATCCATTTGTCATTTCTATTTTCAGTTGTTCTAAGTTTACCGCTATTTTCAGTTGTTCTAAGTTTACCAATCGGTGACGGTGGTAGGGCGTTCGCTTCGTGATCGGGAGGCCCGGGTTCGATTCTCGTTCATCGCGCCGCGTCAAACCTAAAACGTAAACATAGGTAGTGACTGTTCCTTCGCCATGCGCCCGGCATTAGAAGTGAAAGTCACGGGTCTTTCGATTATGACCTTAAAAACGTAGGTCCCGTGTCACGGTGGGCGTTGGCACGATAAAGAACCCTCACTGCTCTATGGCCCTGAGTGCCGAGTATAGGTCTAAATTTGAAGCCCCTCACTGGCATACGATGAGTCTCTATGTGAGTGAAAAAATTCCCGAATGGGACGTTAAACAACATACAATCAATCAATCAAAGTTTACCGTAGGGTGACGCTATCTAACGTAACTAAATAGATTTGGACAGAACTCTAGGTTGCGACTTCTGACTAATTTTTCTACTTTAATTAACGAGCATGTTGTCAATCTAATAATAGATTAGTATATATCAAGAACTTTAATTTGATTTTATTAACTTTGCTAGTGTAAAAAGCCTTCAAAAATCATACAAAGTACGAGTTCTGATGTACAGTTTATGGACAGACGTAACGAGAAAAATCGATGTCACTTTATCATTCTTTTTTTCCTATAGAACGGATATATTTTATCTACTCAGACTTGTAAACATGATTTTTAATTCTTTATTTATCAATAATTGCATACATAAGTATTTAATGAACATGATTTGTATCTTAATTTTATCTATAAAAATTGACAATGGCGCATGTCACAAATTCACGTCGAAAAAAATGTTAATTTTGGAATTGCAGAGCAGTTTATGAAATAGCAACAGACTCTTCCTGATTGAAATTAATTATTCTATTTTTCTGTGTAATAAAGTATAATTAAAAATGTTGTATTTTTAGATTGAAATGAAATTTACTGTAGAAAAAGACTGTTTTATATTCAGTCCACATATGAGCTGCAGAGCAAATAATTAGCTATTATACATGGGGACAGTTTCCTCGGGGCTAATTAATTACACTTCATATACCCACAGCTCACAAATTATGTCAATATATAACATGCAGTCTACCTATTAGAGTATCGAAAATGCACTTGAGGACTCCCCAAATTTTGGCTTGTTTTTCAAAGTTCTGGGCCTCAGTCGCACCCATACAGCCCGACCCCAGTTCCGAGCGAGGAGGATAAAACACCCAGTATGCATGTGTAGTGTATTGGCTTATTTCATATACACAAAGAAAGATAACTTTATGATCTATTGTTTACTGTCTTATACGTCATGTTGTGTACCACGTCATTAGTATTGTTGTAGTTGAATAAATTGTGAACCCTAACTGCCTAAGCACGTGTTTATAGCGGAACAATGTATGGATCGGTATCCGGGGTAAATTGTGATAAACCACAGGGATACGACATTTATTGGCGTCGAGGATATTAAACTACGCAAGATGGCTGAAGGAGGAATGGTTCATCTGTCAGTTTGGGTGGATTTCCCAACTTTAGTTTGAACGGCGACATCAACAGCATGGGCTTCCGGTGGAAGAAATCCTTTTCGCAGAAGGTAAAGGGGTAGTTAACCAGAAACAGTTGAAATCACTTATGTTACACCATGCAGGTCGTGCAGTTCAAGATATTTTCTTTAGTATTGAAATACCTGACCCAGACGAAAATAATGCAGAAATGGACAATGTGTACAAAGTTGCTGTGAAAAAACAGAGTGAACATTTTACACGGCATACAAACGTTACGTATGAAAGATCTGTTTTCAGGTCTATGAATCAACTACAGGGTGAATCGATTGACAAATATATTACAAGACTCAAACAGAAAGCACAATATTGTAATTTTGCTGATGAAAACGAAATGATACGTGATCAGGTGATTGAAAAATATACGTCACATAGAATTTCCGGGAATTCTCAGGAGAGAACTACAGGTGATCAAGGTCATGGTGCATCGATAAACAGAGTTAGAGCTAAGAAATCGACTGCTCATTCACAAAAGAAGACATGTTGGGCATGTGGTAGAGTGGGACATTGTCATGGAAGTGCAGATTGCCCTGCAAAAGGAAAAAAATGACATACCTGTAAGAAAGAAGGTGATTTTGCTCAATAGTGCAGGAGTAAAAGTGTAAAACGCATTCCAAGGACTTGAAAGGGAAAAGCAAAGAGAAACGGGAGTTATGTAAAACAAGTGAATGATACCCCAACTGAGCATCCTGAAGAATTGGAGGAATGTGACTATGTTTTTACAGTTTCGAACACTATTGTTAACAAAGACAGTAAGATCGACATTGAAGTTGAAGGTGTTTATCTTAGCTATCATTGATTCCGGTGCTTCCGTTAATATCATTGATCGACGCTTGTGGGAACATTTGAAGAAACAGAAAATCAGCTGTACTTCACAACTGACCGACATGAAATTGTATGCGTATGGGAGTCGCAATTCATTGACTGTAGCAGGATGTTTTACGGTACAAGTGACTGTTTGTGGTAGTGACAAGTCCTTGCAGGATGTTACCTTTTATGTGATAGAAGAAAATGGACAAACACGTTTGGGTAAAGACACAGCCACAAAACTTGGAATTTTACATATTGGTAAATCTGGAAACTCAGAATCTGGACTTGTACAACAGGTTACAGATACAAAGGCCAAGTTGAAAGCAAAATATCCAGAGTGTTTTGAAGGACTGTTGAAACTTAGATTTTCAGTTGAAGATTGATGACAATGTGAAACCCGTCGTACAACCATTAAGGAGGATACCTTATCATTTACGAGATAAAGTTGAACAGAAGTTACAGGAACTTAAGTCATATGACATTATTGAGAAAGTTGGAACCAAGTGATTGGATGAGTCAAGTGATAGTGGTGCCAAAAGCAAATGGTGACATCAGACTATGCGTTGATATGCGTAGGGCCAATGATGCTGTCATCCGAGAAAGGTACGCAATTCCTACGATTGATGATATTTTGAGTGACTTGAATCAGAGTCAAGTGTTTCTCGAAATTGGATTTTAAGTGGGCTTACCACCAGATTGAACTGGACCCTAGTGCAAGGAAAATAACCACTTTCCAAACACATAAAGGAAACTTTCACTACAAGAGGCTGATTTTTGGGATTTCTTGTGCACCAGAACTTTACAATAAAATTATTCACCAAGTATTGAAGGATTGTGAAGGTGTACAGAGTATATTTGATGATATCATCGTACACGGGAAATCTCAAGAAGAACATGACACAAATTTAGATAGACTCTTCCAGAAGTTGAGCGAGAAAGGTCTCACAGTTAACTTGGACAAGTGTCAGTTCGACATGCCACACATATCTTTTATGGGACATATACTATCAAAGCATGGATTCTGTGTTGGTGAAGAGAAGGTCAAAGCTGTATTAGAAGAGAGACAACCATCGAATGCTGCAAAAATCCGGAGCTTTTTGAGACTTGTTAATTTCAGTGCACGATTCATACCCAATCTAGCAACAATTGCAGAGCCGCTAAGACCGCTCACAAGGAAAGGAGCAAAATTTCAGTGGGAACGTGAACAGGATGATGCTTTTAAGAAACTGAAGGAGCTGATGGCAAAGGCATATACATTAGCATATTTCGATCCTAAGGCTACGACCAAGGTTGTCGCAGATGCATCACCAGTGCAGTCTTGATCCAACAACAAGGCAAAGACCAGCGAGATATTTGTTATGCAAGCCGTAGTTTGTCCGATGTAGAACGCAGGTATTCACAAACTGAGAAAGAGGCGCTCGAACTTGTTTGGGCCTGCAAAAGATTCCATATGTACCTGTTTGGAAAGGGATTTGAACTTTTAACAGACCATAAACCTTTACAGTTTATATTTTTTCCGAGAACAAAAGCTTGTGCTCGTGTCGAGAGATGGATTTTACGCTCACAGTCGTATAAGTACAAAGTTGAGTATATACCTGGACCTCGAAATGTGGCAGATTGTCTATCAAGCCTACTTCACAAAGCTGACAACAAAACCTCACATGATGAAACAGAGCAATACATCTGTTTAATTTCTGAAGGAGCTACACCTGTTGCCATGACAACCCGTGAAATTGAAAGAGCTTCATCAGAGGACAGTGATCTTGAACAAGTGAGGAAGTGTCTCATCGCAGGGAATTAGAACAAAATAACTTGTAAGGAATATTTACCTGTTAAAGATGAATTATGTGCTATTGGACATTTAGTTTTAAGAGAAACTAGAATTGTGATCCCTGAAGTTCTTAGTGGGAAAATACTGAATTTGGGACATGAAGGTCATCCTGGTATTCTGTACGTGTACATAAATTTGCGTATTCAAAATTTAGCGCAATCACTGGGTATGGAGTTGTTGGCGTAATCATGAATTAGCGTCATATATGTCCGTCCCTTGGATTGTATTTATTAATGATTTCTTAGCGGTACTCATGAATTAGCGCATCGTTGTCTTCGCCAGAGCCGCTAAAATATGAAGCCCGCTTTTTTAAGTACACATACAGTAGTTTGAATGAAACAACGCTTGAGATCGAAACTATGGTGGCCAGTCAAGTTATGAATGTCAGTTGGTAGTAACCCAATGAATCCAGAACCATTGAACAGTGAGTTTCCCTCACAACCATCGCAGGATTTGGCTATTGACTTCTTAGGACCATTGCCATCAGGGGATAGTTTATTAGTACTTGTGGACTGCTATTCGAGATGGATGGATGTGACCATCATGAAATCGACGACAACAGACAAAGTGATTCAAAGTTTGAAAAGCACTTTTGCTACACATGGTGTTCCATTATCTATTAGGACCTATAATGGACCTCGATTTGTTAGTGGAGAATTCAAGGAGTTTTTGCAAGAGTACGGAATTTCTCACCGAAAGACAACACCATTATGGCCTCAAGCCGATGGGAAATAGAGCGTCAAAATAGTTCTCTTCTCAAAAGACTAAAAATAGCGCAAGTCGAGAAACGAAACTGGAAGGACGAATTGCTCACATATCTTATGATGTATAGATCCACACCACACACTGTGACTGGAATTAGTCCATCCCAAATGTTATTTGGAAGAACAATTCGTACAAAACTACCCGAATTATGTCAACTTAATGGTACCTGTACAGAAATTTGTGATCGAGACAGGGAAAACAAAGAGAAAGGCAAAATGTACACAGACGCAAGGAGAAATGCACAAGAAAATGAACTACAGGAGGTTAAATCTTGTGTTGATGAAACAAAAGAAAACCGACAAGCTTTCGACCAATTTTAGTCCAAGTCCGATGAAAATTGTGTCAAAAGGAGGAAATGGTGTATTGGTAGAATCTCCCGAAGGTGTGCGATACAGAAGGAATGTTACGCATCTCAAGAAGTTCATAGGGGAAAGGCCGAGTTCATCAAGTGAATATGTGAAAAATCAAAGTAAGTCCTTGCAGAATTGTGTCAAATAATATGGCAAGTGAAAATGTGTCAGTGTCAAATCAGTGTGAATATAATACAAATTCTGATGAATTAAGTGCTTGTGATCTGTACAGTGATGTTTCAAATTCTTTTGATGATTCTGGGAAACTTCAATCGAGTCCAAAGAGTCCAGAAACTACTATTCATACTAGACCGGTACGCGAGCGGAAAATGCCAATCAAGTTTAAAGACTATGAACTGAGTTGAGTAATTTGTCATGTTTGTTAATTTTTAATGACATTCAAAGGTCTATTATATTAATCAATTGTCTGTTATGTTGTTATGAGTACTTCATATTACTTCTCTTGAATAAGAGATAACATTTTATTTTAGGTATTATCAGAAAGATTGTATTTTCATTTAAAAAAAATAATAGGTTTTTTTTTTTTTTTTTTTTTTTTTTACAAATTATGATTTCATGTACATTTAAAGTAATTATTGAACTGGAAAAAAGGAAGGGAATGTAGTGTATTGGCTTATTTCATATACACAAAGAAAGATAACTTTGTGATCTATTGTTTACTGTCTTATAGGTCATGTTGTGTACCACGTCATTAGTATTGTTGTAGTTGAATAAATTGTGAACCCTAACTGCCTAAGCACGTGTTTATAGCTGGGACAATGTATGGATCGGTATTCGGGGTAAATTGTGATAAACCACAGGGATACGACAGCATGCCCTAATGAAAATTCACCAATTGATCTGGGGCCATTCACCTTCCCTCTGAGATGCACACCTTTTTCTAAGCCCTGCTGCTTTCCAGCTGAATTTCCTCTGCAACTGACCATGCGTCTTAGTTTCGCATTTCCAACTCTGTATATGCTAAGCATCAACGTGACACCTACATGTTGCACATCATTTTTTTTCAGCAAGCCCTCTGCTACACTGAAAATGTATCCCATAATTATTCTAATCATTTTTCTGCAAAAAATATCACATCAAACAGGGGATATCTCAGTTTTTTAAGAAATTTTACCGGGTCATCCCCTGCCACCTTACATTCAAATAACTCGTACCAAAAATGATTAGTTCGTACCTCAAACTATTCAATAGAAAATAACATATCGTAAGAAAGAAGCCATAACAATTTAATTTTCGACAAAGGAATGTATAATGCTATCAGTTCTTTTTTTTTTTAACATAAATGTATCGCGTAAAAGTGTTGTGTTTTTCTCGTAAAAGTTCAATCTCATCCATTTTGTGTTTTTAGAAGTGTCCCGTCTGTAGTATATTCAAGGTAAAACCTTTACATTCAATGAAGTTAAGCTCCAGACTTCACAGAAAAGAGGTCTCCCTACATTTATCTCAAAGTTAATGAACAGGGAGTTGGCTTGGACACCTACGTAAGACATTTGAGAATGTCTTCCGCTTGTCGGAAAGGTCCGAAAAGTTGCGATTGGTAAAAGTTGTGCCATGGTAAGAAAGATACATGGATACCAATTAGAATGCTAAGGGTGACACTAAAACGGAACGAAAACGGAAAATATGACAAAAATATGTTCAGTAAATAAGAATCAATATATAATGTATAGATTATTCATATTTAATCAAGGTTTGTTAAAACGAATTGAAGATGAATGGCTATTAATTTGGTATCTATATAAATCCTGGAGTACTTACGAGATTTCGCTGAAAGGGGCCGGGGGGTGTTAGGATAATTCACTTTCTTATGTCAATTTTCTTTATATTTATGACATTCTTTACTATTTAACGAGGATGCTGTGTTTTCTAGAGGAGAGGATGAGGAAAATCCAAGGTCTTTTGGATCTTTTGAGCCCTTTCACCACTTCCCAACCCGCCCAAAATAATCTGCTTCTGAATCCTTCTGGTGATCTGTTTCTGCATCCTTCTGGTGAGTCTATTTAGTTTAATGGCCATCACATATACAATGTATAGCATATAATGTTAAAGTTTCAGCATAAAGTGTTGAAATATCAGCATATAATGTTAAAGTAACAGTATATAATGTAAAAGTACATGTATCAGTATACAAATATTGCATGTAGTTGAGTGTAACAATTTTTTTACCTCAAGAAAACAATTGTGAACCGAGGCGCAGCCGAGTTGACATTGGTTTTCGAAGGTTGAAAATTTTCAATGTTACCAGGCTTGGATTTAGGAATTGAAGTTAGAGGGGATGCAAAAAAGTAGACAGCGGGGCTTGGGCCGCTATGAGGCCCTGATGGGGGGCCCAGGGGGCGAAGCCCCCGGAAGCTCCTGGATTTTAGAGATTTTGTAGGGTAAAAATGAGGTCAACTGAGTAGACATTTTTACATTTTCTCGACGAAACTATGATTTAAGCTAACTTTGACAATTTTAGGGGGCTCGAGCCGGGTGAGCCCCCCTTAAACTTGCCACTGGTTAACTCAACTACATGTAATATTTATTATATTATACTGAATGTTTTGTACAAATACATATAACAGTGAACCTTGCGCGCATAAACTCTTCGCAGTCGATATTTTTTGGAATATCACCCGTCGTCAAGCAATGTTCACTGTTGATACGCTGGTCGGCGTTGCTTGGCTTCATCTTTCAGAGGGTAAAAGTGTTTTATAACAAATTTTTTTCTCGATAAACCAGATTCAACTAATTTACATGAAATTATAACCTCAGCATATCATGATAAAATATTAGCATATAATGTAAAAGTATCAGCATAAAAAGATATAGTATCAGCATATATAATGAATGTTATCCACATTAAGGCAGCTCTGAGGCGTTCCGTACGATAAAAACATGCCACACAGTTAAGAGGTTCCTCCTGTCTCTACATACTAAATTTCACTATAAATAAAATAATGTATGAGACACGAATAAGTACATGTATGTAGCCTTAATGACTGGAATGGAAATCGATAAGCTTATAAAGAATAAAACCAATTTCGGCCCTATAGGTCGGCGCTGCATTTATAACGAAGTGATACTTTAGAATCAAGACAAAACTTCACTTCTGAAACACCAAATTCAAATCGTCCCTCGAATCTACATTTTTAGGTTAATTGAGTCCCCAGGTGACCTTTTGTTATTTGTTTCTGACTGTCGACGTCCGTCGTGCGTCGGTCGTAAACTTTTGAACATTTTCAGTTTCTCTTGAACTGCTGAACAAATTTAAACAAATTTTTGCATATAGCATTGTAATGTTTTGACTTTTGACATGACCGCTAATGTTAATACATGTGTATTTATGTACTTATAGTATTATTTACTCGTTTTAAATGAGAAATAACAATAATCCTTTATTTTGCTACAAATAGTATCAGAAATAGTTAAATTTCTATGTATAATATTGCCTTTAAACGAGTATTTGTGTTGAAACTACCACAAAACGCGTGTTCATCTATTTTTACGGTTGACATTTATGACATGTTTGATGTCTATCTAGCACTGTAAATTGCTTATAAATGTATATCAACTGGTCTTATCGAACAATGTCTATAATATATGTAATTTAATACTTCACCTGCGTTACCATTGTTATCATGTTTATTTGGCTGCAAATTGTACTTTTCTCACCAGTCGTCATGTTTACATGTTGCATTGTGGTATACTTCCGGTGTATTTTATTAGATTCGCTAAGTTATATTATTTTGCCAAGTTAACACTGAATATTATTACGTTTTAAAGGTAGATATTTGTTCTTTTTATAGTTGTAAATGAGTTAAATATCTCTATATTTAATTCAATAGAGTAGTTTTACTGATGTAGAACTATTTTCCGTTAAGTCGATCCGTTTTCTTTGAACGGGTATCCCTTTTGATTTCAGGGGATTCCGTTAGTTTGGAACGGAATCGGTTCTCCGCGGATCCGTTGTTCAGCGGGGACTCAAGCCCTTTTTACTTTGAATTCTTAGAAAGACATAGGTCTATTTTGGCCAGATTTTTATCCGAATTCTTAGATTAAATTTTATTATTTGATAAATTGCCGTTAACTGATTTATTTTAATACTTAATCAGCGTTATTTCGGTATTTATTCAAATTGGGAGTTTAGCATTTATGATTAGGAAATTTTAAACAGACGACTGCAGCCAATTATATCATTTGTAAACTTTGGATATTTGATCAACTTACAAGTTTTAATTTATAAGTTCCATCACTTCAATAAACCTTCATCTCAAATTATTCATCTCTTCCCTTATTATTTTATTTTTACTGGGTTTTACAATATTTAAATTCTGCCTTGGTGTTTTACTAGGGTTGCGGTTGACAATCCCCCCCCCCCCCCTTATACCGTTCCGTTTGCGAGATAACCATTGAGCACTAGCCCGTTATGATTTCTTGATGTCAGAAGTAGGATCCACAATGTTTACGCTTGGATCTTATGGAATTACCGCCAAAAGTCTATTTATCTTGCTTTTATTCTTATTCTGCCTACTTCTTTATTCTTTGTTATTATTGTAACTATATGTCACTTTATTGTTTTCATATTCAGCTTTATTACATTTCACTTTGAACTTTTTT